TATCCCTATTCATTATTGTTATGATTTTTTTTTTAATAAAGAAGCCAGATATTGTTTGCCCAGCGGATCTGAGTCTCCGGAAGGAATTCGGACGTAAATGTGCCATGTTGTCACGTTTAATTATAAAAAAGCGAAAATACTAGGCATGCAGTATAGTTCATTTGAGAATCCATTTTTTAATAACAAAATATTGATAACAATAATAAAACGCTAAATATTTTAACATGGTTGTTAGATCTATTCTTATTTTAATCCTGATTTCTGCAATTTGGTCTATTGTAAAAAATAAACATTTTCTAAAGATATCATCAGTTTTTGACTATTTGGCAAGCATCAGGCCTGAATGAACCTGATTGGTGGAGTTTTTGGCAGGAGTTCCGTTGCCATGGGGAACCATACGATTGTCAATGAGCTAACGTCACCTTACGTCTCGCTATTGGCCAGGGCTGACGTCATTTCATCCTCCCATCTTGGAATATCGATTTATATTGAAATATCCAGTGGCGGAGGTTTGGTCATTGTCGATTTTCGTGTACGAGTTGCAATACGATAACACTTCCAAAAAGTTCCGCACGCAGCTGGGTATTTTATGAATGAAATTAGCCATTTTTGTTTACAACTGCATTCCCCTCACCGTTACCCCGTAGACACAGACTCGCTGGGCAGACATTACATTATTGTACCTAATTAGTTGTTTTATTGATAAGCTCTCCAATTGCACAGGTTTTGTTTATAACATAATTAAGTTATCTTCCTAGTTAAGTCACAATTAACTTGGTGGCGCCCAAAGGTAAGATGTATACAAGGAACCCAGAGACCCATGGCCTCCGAACTGAAGCTGACTATCCGTATGCAGTATAATTAGGCAATTGCCAAAAAAAGTACGTTATACTAGTTTAGGCTCAGCCATCAAAGGGTTGCGGCCATGAGAATCAAGGCAACCCATCCATTTACTTTAAAGGTAACTATGAGCTATTCTTTTATGTGAAAATTATCCATTGCAATGATCACATACCCGTTCATATTGCCGGCTCTCCTACTATAATAAAGAATGAACCAAATTGCGACAAAAATTGTTTATATGATGAATGTTTTCAACTCGTCTGCCCTTTGGTTAACTGAAATGTAGTTATTAGAATATGCATATTTTCAATATGGCAGAAACCGCAATAAGTTACATAAGTTGCACATATGGTTGTTAAATTGCAATTTTCTTCAGTCTGCCAACTTAATTGAGTAGTTACTATCAAAACAACTGAATACCTATCAAAAGGCAAAATGACTGCTTATGTACAAAATGTTTAAAATCTCACATATGTACAAGCTATAATTTTTTTTCAATGCCTATCACACATATAGGTTTTCCTGATGAGGATGAAAGTGAAGAAGAAATTAATGAAAACGAAGATTTTGGCGATCTATCAGATTTGGATGACGGCAATAATGATGATGATAATGGAAAAGGTGACATCAGTTGTGATGGAAGTGACTTCGAAGTGACAGATAACAATGAAAACGATAATGATGATGCTGATGATAATAATGACGATGCTGTTTTTGATGATGTTGATGATTAAAACATTTTTTTTCCTAAATATACAATTTTTTATTGTTCTGCCTTATCATATTTAGGTGTCTTGAGAGCAACTTTAATTTTAATTAACCGATTGTCAGACGGGAGAAAATTGTTCGGACACATAAATATTTTTCGCAATTTAACAATAATTGTGCAACGTATGTAGCTCATTGGGGTTTCTGCCATATTGAAGATATGCATATTCTCATAACTATATTTCATTGAAACATACGGCAGACGGGTTAAAAACGTTCATGATATGAACAATTATTGGCAGACGGGAAAAAATTGATCTCAACTTTGAAAAATTTTGACATTTTTATTGTTTCTGCCAATTGCTAATATACCTTGGATACATCTGCCAATACATTTCTTGGATTTTACTTTGCATGTCAAACTTATCTTCCAAATGGCAGATGGGAGAAAATTGTTTCAGCATCTCAGCATTTTGATACAACTTCAAAAAGTGTTAAATATTATTATAACAACTGAGATTTTCTGCCATTTCCTTATTGATCTCTAAATCGTAAATGCAACATAAATTTAATTTGGCAGACGGGAGGTCGTTGATCCACATGTCGGATTTTTGCGACATTTTGAAATTAGTAATATGACATTTTATACTAACCTAGGGTTTCCGCCGTTTAGCTTCCTTCTACTCATTTTTGTTTAAATTACCTTCACAATGTGTGGCAGACGGGATAATATTGATCCAAATCTCCACTTTTCATTACATTTTCAAATTAGCATATCATTGTATTGTCACACGCGGGGCTCTTTGAAATTTCAGCCATTCCACTTCTTATTGCATAAAGAATAACCACCCTTAATGGCAGACGGGAGAAAATCGTTTTGAAAAAATGGTCGTTATGCACCGGTCTATAAGTTGTATACCTCTATTACCTCCATAATATGTATACCTATTATGTAGGTAGGACTTTGATGCCTTGCACGGAGACGGTCTAGTCTCAAAATGGGAATGCGAAAGAAATGACCTACAGATTTTAATGTCATCCGGGGAGAACGTGAAAGACAAGAGCGTCAAGAGCTCCTCAGAATTTCTAAGGAATACTGAAGTCTCTAAAAGTAAGTATACCCAATTTTAAATCAAGTTGTAATTTTTTTCATCGATATATTTTTGTTAAATGGTTTTGTTTCACTAGGTAGAAAAGCACAAGATTCAATCCCGTAGCTAGTGTTTCATAGCTGAGGCAAGGAAACCAGCCAAGAGTTCAAATCTAATTTTCTGACGTGGCTTGAACTTTGAAACTTTGGATGTTGATAGTTCAAAAACAGCTGGAACAAACATAGACATAGTATTATATATTTATGGAAACAGGATTTGAGGAGGATTTCAAAGATAGTACAATATACCTACAGTTAGTGTCATTTGAAATAAAAATACATAAGTACTCAGATTTTTGAATTTTCAGATTTTGGGATGCCCATTGGTTTGTTTGACAATTCTGGAAGATGATACGAAGAAATCATACAACTTCTGCATTAGAAGCTTTTCTCCTATTGCTCATATTCACCAGTACAGGGGTCACGCAAATATAAAAAATGACCCTGTACCCCATTTAAAATCATAAGTATATTTAAGGCATAATTCAATAAAAATAAAGAATAGGGTACATATTATTGAAAACGGCATCAATAAATACAATGAATAAAATTCTTACTATTCAAGACTTTGATTCATAAATGCAATGAAAGGGTTTCATCGAATTATATCTGGGCTTCATAAATATTATGCCGTCTGTTCATCAGGCCAATGAAAAAGTACATATAAACTAAGAACGATGTTCATTGTCACTATGGAAAGTTTCATAAATACAAAAATCTTGCCACATACTTCAATGTTCCTTGTTCATACACAAGATGAATCGAACTAGGAATTAAGAAATTGTTCTTCCTTTAATAACGTAGAGTTCATGTGATCAAAGAAGCAGTTCTTTGGACCGATTTTAATGAATTGTTCATTGAATCAAAGAACAACTTCTTTTTATTTATGCTACTATTTGGTTAAGTGTACATGCATGCCACTTGGTTTCGACCAGTGAGGTATAACCTAATAAGAAGCCTCGAATCCCAGATAATGAAGTATGCCCAGAAGAAGATTGGTTGAGACGGTCGAAGGCCTTCGAACTTGGTTTTTGAATTATGGCAACACAACTTTTTTGTTCAAATATATGGAATCGGTCTCATATTTCAGAACAGGCTTTAGAAAAATTTATAATTTTTTCCTACCTGAGCCTACCAGCTCCCTATAAATCTATGTAGAATAAGCATTATCATATTTTTCTAAATCCTGTTCTGAAATACATTTTAAAAAACTTAAGTAACATACGGCATCTTAGACGCAGTATAATTGGCAACGTTGCAAATACAACCCTCAGGTAGGAAACAATGTACGTTTTTCATATATTAAGCCTGTTATGAAATATTATGCCGTTTCCATACATTACGTAAAACCTGTGTAATAACAGATCTGCAAGTGATTGTTTGTCATTATGCTGGAATGCAAAACAAATTTAGGATAGAAAATTAGACTTTTCCATAAGCTTCATACTTTCAGTTACCAGAGTTATTGCAAATTGGATTTGATCATCTTTCGATTGACATTTTGTTAAAATGCCATTCAATAGAGAAGCTACTGCACTATTTTGTTTGAACAGTCGTTTGAGTCAATACATCAAATATTTCGTACAAAATGACACTTGTTTCATTTTACTGAAAACAGTAGAATCTAGAACGAGAAAATTGAACATATTTTTATGCAATTTTTCAAATGATTTCGACATCAATGGAATGTTTCCATCGAAACTTAACTAATCATTCAAGGGGACGCAATACTTGAAACAGTAAAACTTGAATCAAAATAATCAACAAAATTTAAAAATCACTATTATATTGTAAATTGGTGCGTTAAAACAATTTCTATAAATGCTCACATCTCACTAACATTCTGTTAATTTGCAAGTTATTGACCGCGTTAATTTTAAACTTGTGGATCATATCCAGTGGAATTATTATTCATTTAGTGCATATATGTATTGGAAAATTACAAACTTCAATATTTTGTTTGGGGTAAATTCAATAAACATAATTATTGCATGGGGATTCAAGTAAGTGTTAATAGAAATTAAAGTATACCTATGACCTTACCTTACCTAAATTTTAAAAATCAAACTAATTGGAATGCAGCAATTTTTTTAAAATTTAATTTTGCGCTAATCGACTTAATTGGTCAATTATTAAATTGTTAATAACGTTAAAAAAATCCCTCTCTCCCTAATCGTAATACGAAACGTTCCCGGGCAACATCAACCCTCCCCTGGACCCAGGCGCTGCCAAATCTTGCACGAGGCCGCACCACCAAATATCCCGAATATATTATCAAAAAAAGCAATTAGAAACTTACCCGACGGCTCACATATTGTCTCCTGGACATTTTCCCGGCATGATCATAAACGAATATCACCACCACATCACTAAAGACCAGACTCTCACTCACTTGATGCTGGATCGTTTTTGCAAACTTGCAGCTCGCTCCATAGGCGTGGACTGCCTGGGCGCCTACTATGCGGGTCGGTTCCTCCCTTCGCCCTTCTTCTCGACGTTTTCCCATTTCCATCCCTGCCTGGATCGGATGTCGGGATGTGTCGGGAAACTGATGCCGGATCGGAGGCTGCGCGAGGAGCTTCGTCGCGTCCAGATTTTCGGGAATGCGAACCTTCGCGTGAAGGATGGTTAGGGATTGTTTTTCGGAAAGTGCATCTACGAACTGGATAACTGAAACAGATTAGAATTTATCGATAACTTCTTGAAAATATTGCAGGATAAACCTATTTAAATGCTTTTTTTTTTTTCGTTGGATTGATACACACAATATCTTTATCAATATGTTATTGACGATGACATAGTTTTAGCCTCGAAACTATATTTATGTCCAACAAATAAGCTGTAATCTGAGGCGAAATAATTGCCAAAAACAACTACTAAAGTCTACAACAAACGTAATAAACTATTTTCAAAATAATATAAATGTCACAAACAGTTTTCGGTTCTTAAAAATATGATCCTGCAGGCGAAAATTACTGAATTATTATGTCGTGCAGCCGAGAGAGTTTCTCGAGAAACTTTGTTGCCAATTTAAAGTAAACTTCAACCAAATATACTTGCGAAACTACTTGCATAACTGCGACTTTGAAGTTTTAGACAGCGATTTCGAGCCTAAATTAAAATATTGGACAATGTGTGAGATCATTTGGATGAACAATCTTTTTCTAGCACATGGGCGATCAAGTTTGGTAAAAATTGTAGGTAATATTTGGATGTCTATGCGTGTTTGTTCTCTAATTTTCTTCTCAAAGTTTTTTCATGTCTGCCCTGTGTAAGTATTCTGGGCTCCTAACTCCTAACTCTTTGCCGGTTTTTGTTCTTGAGTTTTATAATTTAGTTGGTTTCAATACCTATTCCACCTATAATTGGCGGAGAATTTAAAACTGAATTTTTTATGATTAGTAGGTACCCATTGTTTCAATGAATTCCATTCTACAGCTTCTATGAATAACTCAGATACTACATACCATAAATCCTCATAAATATGTCAAAATTGCCGCGGTTTATCACTAGGTCACAAAGGACACTTTATCATAAGTCCTAATGAGCTGAAATTCTCAGGGATTGTAGTCTTCTACTGGGATAAGAATCGCTGCGAATTTCAGCTTTCTATCTCCAGTAGAAAAAAAGTTGTTATGATTTTTTAAAGTTTACAAAAATCTAAATCATGAGGGAGCTAGCTACCTTATTAGTACTGAAATAATAAAATTTCAATTTTTTTTATGATGAGATTTTGTATATAAATGATCATTCGGGACCTGCCAAACTCCATACGCTAAATTATTCTGAGATTTGGAGCCGGATTCTATAAAAAAGACACCCAGAAAAATTGAAAAATTGATAAATCACACAAATTGCTTAACACGATTTTATTTCTAGAACTATAAGTCCAAATGAGCTTAGATTTTCAGGGATTGTGGTCCTCTACTGGGATAAGAATCGCTGAAAATTTCAGCTTTCTATCTCTAATAGAGAAAAAGTTATGATTCTTTGAAGTTTACAAATATGAAAATTTAGTTTCAAATTGAGTTTTTTATTTTTCTTCCCAACATTTTCGATAGGGTTCCACATTCATCTTTTGACAGGTGATTAATACTGTCTCGCTGAATAATGTATCCATTTTTTTCCAAAATCGGTGAGGGTTTAGGTACCAATTTAGGGAATATCGATAACTGCCAATTTTTTCTCAATTATGAACTCGAAAACTGTAAAAGATTGCTATCCGATCCCGCAGGTCCACGATCGTTTGGAAGTTTTGAAAGGCTGTAATTTCTTCACTACGTTGGATATGGTAAGCGGCTATCACCAGATACCAATGGAAAGGGAATTCAGTGAGAAAACGGCTTTTGTGACTACAGATGACCAGTACGAGTACCTTAGGATGCCATTTGGCTTGGTCAACGCACCTGGTGTTCTCCAAAGAACAATCAACCATGTATTAAGCTCTATGAGATTCTCTTGCGGCGTTGGCGTACATGGACGATATTTTGGTGCCTTCTTCCACCGTGGCATCTGGATTAATAGTTCTGGGAGAGGTTTTTCAAACATACCGAAATGCGGATATTACTTTGCGTTTATCCAAATGTAATTTCTTCCAAAACCAAATAGATTACTTAGGACACGAGGTACGTCCTGGTTCTTCCAAAATTGTTGCTGTGAAATTCCCTGTACCCAAGAATGTCCATCAAGTACGTCACAGTTTGTGGGTTTATGTAGTTTTTTGGACAGGTGATTAATAGCGTCTCGCTGAATAATATATCCATGTTTTTCCAAAATCGGCGAGGGTTTAGGTCACAATGTGGGGAATATCGATAAACTGCCTGCCAATTTTTTCTCAATTTTCCTTGAATTTCCTCTTTCGATTTATTAAGTTTTGCCTATTAGTGAGCATTCACACCAAAGTAGTATGCGATGTGCGACTTGCTGCTAGAAAGCAAGAAGCATGCTACCCTATTTTAGAACCTCTAGAAATATATGGGTGGTTTCACACCAGAGTAGCGTAGCAAAAATTCGACGTGCGACTCAGGATTGAAACTATTTATTTTGATAGTTTGCGACGTATTTGCAAGACGCACACACAAAGCACTCACTCAGTAAGCATTCACACCAAAGTAGCATGCGATGTGCTTCCTGCTTTCTAGTAGCAAGTCGCACGTCGCATGCTACTTTGGTGTGAATGCTCACTTACAGCCTCTTGGTTAGAAAATATAATGACAATTCGAAACATTCGAAAGCCTGGGAATGGGAGAAATATTACATGCCTCACTTTTCTACCTACCCTTTTTTTTTGAATTTCCTGTCTATTCCTTCTGTTTTCCTCTCATTTTTTGCTTATTTGAGGCTCTTATTTTTTGTTTTGTTTTGTTAAGTAATCATTTATTGGATAACAGTGAAACGTGGGGACTTGGTAAAACGACGCTTAATCCTAAGTTGATTCCAGAATTTACCTTAAGTGTGACGTCACTAAATTGTGCGAAGTGGTTGGATAAAGTTGACCAGCTAGCGCAAATAAATGGATGGGATGACAACCTAAAAATGTTTCACATGCATGCCAAACTAAGGGGCGTGGCCAAAATGTGCTACGATGGGCTTGACAACTACCGACATACATGGAGCGAGTGGAAACGTTTATTGATCCAGGCATTTCCAGATCATCAGGATTTTCCCACAGCCATCAGAAATCTTATTAAACCTAGAAAGATGCCTGAGGGCAAGCACCGTGTACTATCTTAGCAAGATGCAGCTGCTTCGACAATGTGATATTTCTGGCAAAAATGCAGAAGCCATTATCATAGATGGTATTCCCGATTCGACAGTACAATCGGGGGTAAAAGTTGGTCGAAATGCCACTCCGGAAGACCTATTTAATGAATATCTATCAGCATTGTCATCAGTGCCTGTTTCTAATAAAGATCGAGTCGAATCCCATAGAACACAAGAAAGATCATATGATAAAAAACGAAACAATAATCAAAAGTCTAAGCAAACAAGATGCTTTAATTGCAAATAATACGGATATAGGTTTAAAGATTGCCCAAAGCCATGACGTGTGCTATTCGCAAGCAGCTAGGGCACTTCGCCAAAGTTTGCCGTAAAAACAAAGTCGCTTCATCCCACTGCAAGACCCACTCAGAGAAATCAAATGAAGAATATTATGTTTCATGTGAGATAAATGAGCATTTTTTCAAGGGATTTGTCGACTCTGCATGCATGCATGACATTTGAGGACAGCAATGTTTATCTTAACGGATATAGGGGCGCAAATTGCAGGCTGAAATCGATATTTTCATAGTAGCAGACAACATGCAAACTATGCCAGTTCAAATTGGTCGTTCAGTACTAATTACGAACAACGCAGTGACTCTTATTCAGGAAAGAAATCTTAGAGTTTTTCCCAATGACATGGCAGAGCTACCAAATATCGATAAACTTTCATCCAAAAAAATCGTGAGTGCAGAGGCTTTCACCAACATACCTGCAGTTCACATTGGCCTGGTAAGCTGCATATCTAGAGATGACCTAGACTAGAATCTGAAGTTTTTATAGAAATGCGTAGATGCTTGCAGCCTGATAAGGAATATATTCTGCCTAAGTGTGTTATTTCTTCGTCAGCCTACAAGATTCCAGTACTGAACTTGTCCAGAGGGAAAATTAGTTTTAGGACGAACCAAGTGGTAGCAAGAGGCAGTCCATGTGTCCCTGAAGCAGAAAATGTTAGTACTTGTAACAAAATTGATATTGCAAACTTGTCAAAATATTCTTTAGATCATATAAAATATCGCGTTTCAGAAAATATGTGTCAAACAGTTCTTAAAAATTCATTATCACTTTTAAATAAATATCGAGATGTTTTTGCGGAAAATATGGATGAGTTATGTGGATTTAAAGATGCAGAAATAAAAATTCGTTTAGCGGACGATAAACCGGCAACTTATAGACCTTAGGTATAGACTCTCTGCATTTGAGAGGGAAAATGTTCGAAAATTAGTTAACGAATTTACGTCAGCTGGTATAGTTCAGAAATCAAATTCGCCGTATTCGAGTCCTATTATTCTCAAAAAGAAAAATGGCGAAACTTGAATGTGCGTCGACTATCGCGCTCTGAACTCGAAAACTTTAAAAAATTGCTATCCGCTCCCGCGGGTCTACGATCATTTGGATGTTTTGAAAGGCTGTAATTTCTTTACTACGTTGGATATGGTAAGCGGCTATCACCAGATACCAATAGAAAGGAAATCCAGTGGGAAAACCGCTTTTGTGACTCCAGATGGCCATTACGAGTACCTAAGGATGCCATTTGGCTTGGTCAACGCACTTGGTGTTTTCCAAAGAACAATCAACCATGTATTGGGCTCTATGAGGTTCTCTACGGCCGGCGATGGCGTACATGGACGATATTTTGGT